TGCAGCCTGCTCCACAGGTGTCCATTGATCTGACAGAGGAAGTGGGAGAAGAGAATGTGGAGAACATCAATCCAGGAACTTCAGAAGAGCATAGGCAGGAATCTGATGCTAACCCTACCATCCGAGTGTCTTCATTGCACTCAGTGAGCAGCTTCATTAATGGGCTACAGAGACTTCATGGCATGCTAGAATTCCTGAGACCCCCTTCAGACTACAATGTGGGGCCAGTAAGAGCCAGAAGGAGGAGAGGGACTGCTTCACGCAGAGCGAGAACCGGAGGGTCTCAGAGGACGGACAGTGCCAGGTAAATAATAATGTGTGGACTATGGAATTAGTACCAGATTGGGAATTTTGAATTTGGGCTCTAGTCATAACCCCAGTATTGCTTAAGATAAGATAGGCATTGTGACTTTTGGCAAGTCAGGTAACTTTTTTGAATCCCTATTTTCTCACAGGTCAGATGAAACTAAAAGTGTTTGCTTTATTTACCTAACAAAGTAATTGAGGGGGTATGTTATACTTACTTAATTTTTTTTCTCTATCTTTTTTTTATCCTTAGCTGAGGACATGATTTTAGAGAGAGGGAAGGGGTGTGGGGGGGGGGAGAGAAAGAAACATGGGTCAGTTGCCTTTCCAATGGGCCCCAAAAGGAGATGGAACCTGCAAGCCTTTTATGTGTCCTGGCTGGGGATTGAACCAGCAACCTTTTAGTGCACAGGACAATGTTTAACCAACTGAGCCACTCTGGCCAGGCAAGGGATAAGTCATACTCAAATACTTTGAAAACTGATGGTAGTTTATTGGCAATGACTTCTGTAGAGGCTGTTTTTTCTTTAGATCATTTGCATCTTGTATATAAATATGTGTGTGTGTGTATTAATTTGCAAGTTCACTCACCCAATATCCATTGTTGGCACTCTACATAGTGGTGAAGGCTAGATTTAGGGAATCCTTTTGAAAAGGAGAATGTGAATTAAGAGCTTATCTGAAGGAGTAGGAAGCATTCCAGTCCTCCTCACCTCAGACTATGTTGAAGAGTTGAAAATTTTTTTTCATAGTTTTTGGTTTGAATTTACCTCTTGAAGGGCTAAGCTGTCGAGTCTTGACAGGATTATTATAAAGAATAACAATTGTTTATGTCTTACCTGTTTTAAAGCCCCCCTGCTTTATTTGAAAGACTTTATTTCATATTTGGTCTTTTAAATATTTTCCTGTTTAAAGAGGTCGCATTCATTTTATGGAGTCCAAGAGTTTTTGTTCAAGGTCTCATAGCTACCACACAGACGTAGAGCTGGTAATGAACCTGGATTGGACTCATTTTCTACATAGATATAGAGGGAGCTTAATCCTTTTGTCTTAACACTATGAGAATAGTGAGATGGTACTAAAAAAATAGTGGCTAGGCCAGCCGTGGGCAAACTAAGGCCCGCGGGCCGGATCCGGCCAGTTTGAAATGAATAAAACTATTGAAATAAAAGACCGTACCCTTTTATGTAATGATGTTTACTTTGAATTTATATTAGTTGACACAAATACTCCATCCATGCTTTTGTTTCGGCCCTCCGGTCCAGTTTAAGAACCCGTTGTGGTCCTCGAGTCAAAAAGTTTGCCCACCCCTGGGCTAGGCCATCTATTTTTACAAATGAGGAAGCTGATGGGATAACTTGTGATTTGTCTGAGGTAACTCTGGAATTGGGATTGTGCCTTCAGGATTCAGCATCCTTTTCCATGGATCCTGCTGATTACTGAAGCAGGGCCTGCTATTAATGTGGTTCCAGTCTCTGTAGGGCCTGGTCACTTCTGGATGTGACCCATCAAAGATGGTGGGTGTCTAGTTCTGTATTAAAGAAGAGTTACAAATGCATCCACTCAGTTCATACACTCAGTTGAATGATTGCTCTTGGTCGGGAACACTTGTGTTAACCACCTCACAGAGCGACACTTACAAACCAGGTGCCAGTTTACAGAAATAGAAACTCTACAGAGAATAAATTATCTTGTTGGCATGTTCAGCATGATTCTCCTAGAAGATATTTACACACACAAGTCAAACAATAATTAGAAATTTGCCAACATATATAGAATCTGTGCTCAGGTTACAGAATTTAGATGCTGAAAGATATTAATCAAACTATTTGACTGACAGTCACATGTTTGTCTACATAAAGTGGAATAAACCTAAAAGGCCAAGGACTGTGTAGTTCAATGTAAAGAACATGGATTCTGGAGCCAGATAAATGTGCATTAAAACTTTTCTGCCACTTTGATTAACTATTGTACTGGAGGTTCCAGGTTAGGCAGCGAGAGAGAGAGAGACAGACAGACAGACACTAGATTAGAGAAACAAGGCATTTGTATTAGAAAGAAATGCCCTGGCTGGTTTGGCTCAGTGGATAGACCATCAGCCTGTGGACTGGAGGGACCCAGGGCAAGGGCACATGCCTGGGTTGCGGGATCAATCCCCAGTAGGGGATGTGCAAGAGGCAGCCAATCAATGATTCTCTCTCATCATTGATGTTTCTCTCTCTCCCTCACTCTTCCTCTCTGAAATCAATAAAAATAAGAAAAAAATATTTTTTTAATAAATAATACTATAGCTATTTGCAGATGATATAATCCTTGTATTTATCATCAAGTTGTGAAAAAAGCCAGACCCAAGAGGCCACATATTATATGGTCCGATTCAAGAAAATACAGAATAAGCAAATCCATAGAAACAAAGTTAATTAGTGGTGCCACAGGCTGCGGGGGAAGGAGAAAAGAAAATGACTGCTTATGGGTACACAGTTCATTTTAGAATCTTGTGGTTATGCTAAAAATCACTGGTTCTCAAATTGTGAATCAAAGGCTTCACAATTGCTACTACTCATTTTAATTTATTCACATTTTTTATAAGGGTGAATCTTCTATCTATGGAATGGGATACCAAATGTTTATTTTGTTTCATTTAATCATCCATTTTTTTAATAGAAGGCCCTAGTTAGTCATAAATTTTAGCAATCCTATGAGAAATCAAAAGTTTTCTGTATGAGCAATCTCCAATAATGGTTCTGGGTAATAATATACCTTAATGCTATAAAAACAGTTATTAAAACTTAAAGTAGGTCACCTTTCACTAATATTTTGTGATTATTAGCTTGGTAGTATGTTTTAAAGTTCAGAACATATTTTAGGTTTTTAATATCAAATGTCATTATTAATGGGGTGGAGTATGGCTTGCTACCTTGGAAATAAGGAAAACAGATATAAAAGTGGCTACAGTTAAAACTCAGCCAGCCAGAATGAATTGGAATGTTAAATCTGCTCCCAAACTCTCCTTATCTTGAGTTCTTTTTTGATATATTGTGTTTTTAACCTTAACCAGATATTAAGCTTGAGAAGAAAAATAATCCTAATGTATAAAAAGCCAGGGGCTGTCACGACCGGGGCAACCAGGCCGTCAGGGAGGTTAGTGAGGGACAACTGAACAGCAGGCTGCATGGGGTGACCAGGTTGGCAGGGGGGGCAGTTAGGGGCAACCAGGCCAGCAGGCAGAGGCGGTTAGAGGTGATTAGGCTGATGGGGGATGGGGCAGTAAGGGGCAATCAGGCAGGCAGTCAGGTGAGCAGTTAGGAGTCAGCAGTCCCAGATTGTGAGAGGGATGTGATCGGGCCTAAACTGGCAGACATCCCCTGAGTGGTCCCGGATTGGAGAAGGTACAGGCTGGGCTGAGGGGACCCCCAAACCCCCCCTGCACAAATTTTGTGCACCAGGCCTCTAGTTCTAAAAATAAATAAATAAAATAAGCAGTTTTACATTAACAAATTAAG